AGGTGGTGCACACTTATAGATTAGCTTGTGTTCAGGGATTTATTCAGTGAGATCCTGTATCTTACCTCCCTTATTTTCATTTTCACCCTAGGGAATAATAACCGGACTCCAAATAAAATAGTGGGGACTTGCCTCACCTTTGGTGGTGAAGATATAGGTCTCTATGGGTATGAAGGCTTTTAAGATCTTAAGATTTAGCACAAATGTTATTGATGAGTTATGTTTAGAGTCGCTGGCCGGATAATCAGCCCGCACAGGAATACGTTCTGAATATTCATGACGTTGAATGAACTGAAAGCTCAGTGAGCAGATACAGTTATTTTACAGATTTATGTAGATACAAACTCTCTTGAGCCACTAAAACAGAAGGGGATGAGGTTACAGCACATGCCACAAGCTGTGGGGAGCCACAGATTTAGAAAAGCACGACTTTCTGGAACAAATCATTTCATTTTTGATTTGAACCACAGGAACCAGATTTACTCAGCAAAACTCACTCAGCCACCCGCTGCCATGCAGAAAACCAATGTGGATAGTTTCAGAGCTTCCATGTGGGACAGTATAGTTGCTATACTAGTGTTAATCGGCTTGATCACTGTTGCTAACCATTTAAATATTTTCCCTCTCCTGATAATAGCATTTTACTTTCTTTGACATTGGATGTGCTACTACTAGTTTACCTGTTTAATTATAGATCCACTAGGATAAATACAATAAAGTTTATCTCTCACCAAATAGAATATTTACTAAGAAATCACAAAGTAACCATAGACACATTGCTTGGTGTGTGTGTGTGTGTGTGTGTGTGTGTGTGTGTGCGTGCGTGCGTGCGTGCGTGCGTGCGTGCGTGTGTGTGTGTGTGTGTGTGTGTGTGTCTGCTCTGTCTTCTCGATCCCCAGTGAGTCGTGGCAGATGGTTGCTTATACTGAGCCAGCATCCTCTGAAGGTTTCTTCCTGTTAAAAGGGAGTTTTCCTCTCCACTGTCGCTAAATGCTTGCTTAGTATGAGGGTTGCTGTAACGTCACTGACTATTCAGTGGCTTGATGCAGTCTGCCGGGTTTCTTATATAGGAAACTTTTTTCCGATTGGCTTAATGAACTGAGCTGCATTGGAACGTTTACTTTGTGAAGTGCCTTGAGAAGACTCTTGTCGTGATTTGGCGCTATATAGATAAACTTGAATTGAATTGAATTAATAAAACAAAAATGACACACATGCAAGCAGCAGCAGTGGATGTTTGCAATAGCTGCAAATGTGAGCTGAGTGAATGATGACTAAAGCTTTAGTCAGTGCAGATGTTAGCAGGGATTGTGTTATTTTTGTACTATTGTTAGTGAGAAAATAGCTTTATTGATGCAGTAATTTATTTTATATCCTGCTGTTACTTGGACTTTTTAATGCAAATCTGCTAAAACATCAAAACTCGTAACAGGTAAGGCCAACTGAATTAATGGTCTCAGTGCAGCGTGGTGTTCTGCTGGGAAATGTGTAGGTTTCCTCATTTATCTTGTTCACGCACTAAAAACTGCTGGGGAGGTCCGTTGGGCCACAGGCTCTGATTAAATACTGTGTCAATTTTATGACCCACTCATTAAAATTACAAGTTAAATATTTTGTTAACGAGAACAAACCCTTAATGTGGAGAAATAATTGAATTTATACATTTTATTCCAATCCTTCATTCGTTTTCCTTCGTTTTAAATATTATTTGTGTGTAAATTTAATGATTAACTTAAATTTGATTGAAATAAAGAGGAAATGTTAATCCCACATATTACTGATTAGCCTTTTTTTAAACTCGCTTTAACTTTAAACTTTGTTCTGTTAAACACACTTGGTGGGTTGAAACCTTCATCCAATCAGCTAAATTTGGTTTTAACCCAATGACAAGTATGACATTGTTGCAGAAGAAACACACCTCTCTTCACACCTCTGTCAAATGTGTTTGTTTTTTTGCCTAAGATTTCAGGGATTTTCTGATTTAAACAATACGTAACGTTTAAAGTTTAAATAGCTTCAAACGTGAAATATTTCAAATTTTAATTATCACAATGATACTTACAAAGTACAATTCAAGCAATTTGTTAAAAACGGAATCAGATTCGAGCTCCATATTTTTTAAACCCCTTTAAAACTAGTGTCACAAATTCACATCAAACACCTTTTGGCCTTAAAGATCATTCCCCACATTTTTTATAGTTTTATGCCTTATAAGTCGTTTCTGGGGAGCAAAAGCACCGGTGCACCTGTTAGAGTACATAGAAGTCAGCCATAAGAGGAAGTGGCAGAAGACACCTGGAGTGTTTGTCAATGCCATTGAACCTCACTTTGATGTCTTGGTCCTGCCCCCGTTTCCTGAGATACGTCATCAGGAACGGCCAAGACGTGTTCCAATGTGCATGTTCTACCGAGGCGTCTGTTTAGCCGTTTAGCTAGCTGAGCAAAGATACATGGGAGGTGTCTTGTAGCCTAGCCTTGGTCAACATTTCCCAGAATATACCTTGTATTTTCAAAAGGATGGCGGATCAGAAGCCAGCAGCTACTTCGGGGGAAAATTTCAAGTTTAAATGTAAGTCAACTAATCTAAAAAAAATTTTAATCCAAAGAAGTTATCTATTGTTGGTTAGTTGCTTAGTAGTTGTAGCTTCGGTGGCTAGCGGGTAGTAACTCGCTTACATGTTTAATTGAACTAATATATACACAATTTAAAAGTAAAAGGCTTGCTATATATATTTATATTGAAACTTATACGTATAAAATATAATGTTATCTCCCGTGTCACGTGACGTTACGTGACGGCCGTGGAAGCCACGGTCACGAGATGTCTGCTCCAATTAACAGTTTTCTTTCACCAAGGAAGGACAGTGTCCTTGTAAGCAAGGCGCCTGGCCTTGCAAGACATCGCCTTGCAAGGCCAGGCGCCTTGACGAGAAACACCTCTGGATTTGAAGTCTTATTTCCTGATATTCAGACAACTTTCCTTTGATTGGCTAACATCAACACAACTCTACCACTGACTCCATTTGCTTTGCAACGTTGATGTTTCGTCTCCACAAATAACACAGACCTGTAGGAGTTCTGCCATTGAGTGGAGTTGCTAATGCTAATGTTAGCTTCAAGGCAAGGTAGCTTTATTTAGCTCATTTTATACACAGAAGCAATTTCATGTGCTTCTACCAGCAGAGACGTTCTCTGCTGTTTCCTGGACGCTAAAACCAACAACAGTCTTCCTTTTGTGAGCCAAGATGGGTGAGTTAAGTGACAGTGTGACGTAAATCTGTCAGGCTTTTCTGAAATACACACTGTATACACACTGGACCATTCTTAGGACACAGTCATCAACGGGAAAGGTCAGTAGAGGGTGAGATCATCCTCTGCTGCCCGCAGATGAACAGAGACAGAAGCAACGCCACCAACATCGGCAATACTCTCACAAAGGTTACAGTGAGAGTCTAAGCATGTCAGGAAAAAGGTAAAAACTACCTCTATTTACTCTGTGTATAGTGAAGAACCAGAAAATGGAATTAGATAAGGAACACAGAACAAACTAAGCAAAGATGATTTTATTCTTGTTATATTAAAATTTGCCAAGAAATAGCTTCATTTTTGTTACTAGATTTTTTTATAGTTGATGCTTTCAGGCTTTAAACATTTTAGCCGTATCCATACTAAAATAATAATAATAAACAGAAATTGAACAGAAAATTCTAAACCCTAGAACATTTAATTTAACATCCATTGCATTCTGTCATGATCTATTTTTGTCCTAAACCGAGACAACGGTGACCCTAATAGAAAAGCTCACACTTGCCAATTAACAGACAAGAACATGTGATGTGGCCCTAGCTGTGACTTTGAAAAGCATCATGAGTTTTAAAGTCATACTGTGTGAAGTGCCTTGAGACGACTCTTGTCGTGAGTTGGCGCTTTATAAATAAACTTGAATTGAATTGACAAAAGATTCAAAGTTATGATGTTGATCCTGACTCTGTTACAGATATAGTATTGACTGCATTAAACTAAACTCAGTCGTTCTTTCTTTTGGATTCTGTGCCGACTGACAGCCAGAGCCCAACAGATGAGCTGGATCCAACAAAGCATGTCAAAAATAATTTTAAATAATGGATATTGTTTATTATTTTTATATTTTTATATTTTCTATTTCCCTTTACTAAAATCTTGGACAGAAGAATGAGTACACAAGCTTTGTTATATTACTGAAAGAATGAAATAAGTCATGCTGACCAGAAAGGAGAAGTTATGGATCATTATTCCGGACGGATATTACTGCAGGACCCATTCTGACACAGGAAGAACGTCTTTAGGGATTTCTCTTTTATGCTGTTTCCACTCTCCTCACACACATTCACATACGGAGTTATTATATAGGGGCTGGTGTCATGCAGCCGCTGGATGGGATCCATTACATTAATTGAGAGTCTATATGAATAGAATATGACAATATTAATAATCTTTGTGTGTTTGTGTGTGTGTGTGTGTGTGTGTGTGTGTGTGTGTGTGTGTGTGTGTGTGAGTGTGTGTGTGTGTGTGTGTGTGTGTGTGTGTGTGTGTGTGTGTGTGTGTGTGTGTGTGTGTGTGTGTGTGTAGGTGTGTGAGGAGATGACGTTACGGAGCCCGTGTGCTTTCAGCTCATAGGGAGTTTGAGAATTTCCTTGGATACAGCAAACACAGTCTTCCTGTAGTTAGATCCACCAACGCAAACTGAGGTCATACTGTGAAATTACCTTAAAACAGTCCTTCGCTCGATCTCCTCCTGCTGTCTCTTTGTCTCTGGCGAGGATTGGCTGAAGAGGAGATAAAACAGCATCTTAATCTGTGGGTGGCACAAGCGCACAAAGAAGGCAATTAGGATTATAATTTATAGTTCCCTTGCCCTTTTCTCCTTCCTCCTCTTCCCTTTTGTCTCGTACCGTGCTCATCCTTCCCCTCCACCCATGAATTAATTTCTTTATGTGTGTGGTGTTTGTGTATCCCCACAGAGCAGCACGAGCATTTGGAGAGTACCTGTCCCACTCACACCCTGAAAACCGAAACGGATCAGGTCAGCGTCTCTGTCACCCCGCCATTTGTCCGTCCCTCTACTCCTGTTCTGTGTGTTCCTTTGAGGTTTTAATCCTTCCTCCACCTGCTTCACCTCATCCTCTTTTGAAATGCCAGGCTGTGCTCACTGGTGGGCCACGACAGCAGCTGATAGCCAACAGAGATGAGGATGTGCCATCCTTTTGGTTTCTCTCTTTCTTTTCTCGTTAGCATCTGGGTGTGTTTATCGTGGTATTTATATATGTTCATCTTCTTCTTTTATTTTCTAGCTCACCTTCTGTGTGAAACCTTGGTGGGTCCTGATCCAGAGTCGCCGAGTGATACGACTGGTCCAAACAGTAAGACTCCCTTCCGTCCCTGCTCTACCACCAAAGGCTGCGAGCCCAAACCAGAACCAGCCAACGAGAAGCTGGGCTTCATCCAGCCTCCTCCCTCCTGTGTCACCATTCCCACCAAGCCTACCTGTTTGTCCCTTGAACGCAGCTTTACACTAGAGGAGGAGCAAAAACGATCCACCGAGTGTGCGCTCCAACCTGCTCGTGTGTACACCATCACCACCCAGCACGGTATGTTGATGAGCAGCAGCCGGGGCAGCAAAGAGAGCCTAGAACTGGACGTCCTGAAGGACAAGTCGGGGAGCGGTAGGTCTAGAGGTGGTCCCATCCAGCCATCCACCTCCCCATCATCCGCCTCCTCATCTCCAACCCAATACAACCGCTCAGGCAGTGGCCGCGGCACCAACAGTTGCAGTGCCAGCCACCATCACCACTGTAATCACCAGATGAACCACAGTGCACCTTCCAGCAGCAGCGCAGGAGTTAGCGGGGCATGTGGGAGCAGCAGTAGCAATCCGCAGCAACAGCAGCAGCAGCTAGCTGGTGCAGGGTCCCATTCCCATCATGCATCGCACCACCACCCCCATCACCACCATCACTTGTCCCAGCCGCCACTGCAGACCTCAGTCAGCGCCCACAACATTCGTAGCCTGGGAGACAGTGGGAAAGGGGAGGTGGATTGCCGAGGGCTGGCTTGTGACTCGTGCAGCGGAGCTCCCTCGCGTAGCCAGGGGTCGTTGGACCTGGAGAGTGCGTCTCGAGAGGCAGGCAAGCAGCACCGACGCTTGGAGCGGATGTGGAGTGTGGACCGGGTGACTGGGCTGGAGAGAGGTGAGAGGGTGGAGGACACAGAGGAATCGAGAGGCACTGAAATCCAAACAAGGGCAGGACTGGGGAGGCCCTTTAGCTTAGCTTATGCTATACTGATCCAGAGAAGAAATAATCAACCATTTTCAGTTACTTGCACTGAAGAACTCAAGTTCTATTTTTGTTGTTGCTTTTCTTATTCTTACTAAATGAAAAACACACACCCACACACACTTCGGATCTATTTCTTCTCTGGTCCATTGGGGACTGTTGGTGTTAGATGTGACGTGGTGGTCTGTATTTCTGACTCTTCGTCTCTCCTCTGCTGTCTCTCCCTTTGTGTCTCCCTCTCTCCATTCGTGGGATTGTGGACTGTGAGGTGCTGGTGCCGTTTCTGGTTTTGTGTTTTCATTTTGCATTTACGTCAAAATTGTGCCAAAACACTTATGCTCAATTAACTTTTTTTGTGATTGCAGAGGACACAAACTGGTTCCCCAAGGAGAATATGTTCACCTTTCAAACAGCCACAACAACTATGCAGGCGTGAGTGTCCAACCTTAAAACACACAGACGTGTACTTTAAATGTGATGTTCAGTGTGTTTACTAGGGGTGTAACGGTACATGTATTCAGATTCAGACTTTTCTGTGCAGTATGCTCGGTTATGCACAGACAAGTCCCACACAGATGTGTTTCACAAGTTAACCAGCAACACATGCAGCTGTGTCCAAATTCAAGGGGCTGCATCCTTCGAAGGACCCGAGCTTCCTGGTCCACATGGCTCTGTCTGTACCAGACACAGGTTTTTTTTTGTGGACCAGGAAGTGAAAACTGTAATGTGCTAAGCTGGTTAATTTATGTACCGTTGCACCCATAGTAGTTAGGGTTTAGATCATTACCTGTCTGAGATGGAATCACAACATTGTTTTGCAAGTCTCAACTCTAGAGTTAAGCCATATCTTGGGAGATATGTGTCCTAAACCAAGACAGGAAGGTCTTTGGTCAAGTCAAGCCACAGACATGCAAGTCTCAAGTCTAGTCTCAAGTTAAAAACTTTCAATTTGAATATTAAAACACATCATTTGACAAAAGCTATGATGTAAACACAGAAAAATATGAAAAGATTCAATATTTTCCTAAATTAGCTTTTATATATCTCCAATCTTCTAGCTTCTCAAAATGAGCATTTTAGTAAGCTAATAAAAAATTTCTAAAAAATGATATGAAAGAAATCATTTTAATTAATGTTTTGTTATTTTTATGAATCAAAAACCTGAATCAAAGTCATGCTGTTGTGAAAGTGTTAATTGTGTTTTTTTTAATAAATCTGGAAAAAAATTGTTTTTTCGATTAAATTTCATGTCCCAGAAAACAAAATGCATTGGCAAGAAATGCCATAAAACCCATCTAAAACCCCTTTGACACACATAACCAGAAGAGGCAAAACAAATGGCACGTGTGGTGTACAAATGTGAATGTGAGTCAGGGCTTTATTTGCATATGAAAGCTAAATGAGATTCTGTCTCCAGATCTCCTGCAGTTATAAAAGAAATCTTAGCTGAGATAATCCATTCAAACCAAATACAGAACCTCCTGCAGGTTTCCTGCTGTATTATTGCCATTTTAACTCACATCAGTTGTATTCTCTGCACCTTTTATCTTTATTCTTTGAATAAACTCTTGTTTAGAGTTCAAAAACCTTAATCAGGTAGAAGAAATGGCTTCTCTTTAGACATTTACACAAGCACAGACTGACAGCTATTATGTGACGTTATCAGCTTATTATTTTATTCATGTAGATTTTTTTTCTTTCTCCTTGCATCCTCAATAATCTGGATCCTGACACAGGATATCGTGAGTATTCTTTCCTGCATGAGAATCTTTCTTCTTTTCACCTCGACTAATTCTTGTCTTTAACTTCTGCTTCTTAACTTTGATGCCTACTACTGCCATCCATCCACAGCTAGTTCAGAGAAACACTGTAACCCTATCCCCATGCAGTCATAAGGGTATTGTTGGTACTTTAGCTGTGATAGAAAAGGTGGCTGTTGGATGTTTTTGATTAAAATGCATAAAATGCATATTTATAAGAGGATTTTCCAATCATGTGACTGGCAGTTACTGACATGAAGGTTCAAGCTAAGACCTGTCAGCACTAATGAGGCCTTTTGATTCGAGTAAAAATCTACAAGGAGAAAGTTTACAGGCTTTTTGTGCAACAGAAGGGATACAGTCCAGTGTAAATCCACCACAGCTGGGTAAGTCTGCCAAAGTGAAGTCCAGAAAATGACAATGTTTGTGTCAAAGGACCTAAACTCCACCAACTAGACACACACGCTTAGAGGCAATCATGCTAGGGTGTGTGTGTGTAATCCCGCCTCATATAGTCATCCAAATAATCTCAGAATTTGAGCGGCTGACTTTGGCTAACTTTGAAAGCAAATACAGGAATTGGCTTTTCAGGGAGTTTTCGCAGCACTAGTATCTGGTCTCCAGTGCCTCCTCCTCTGTTGTTGTTGGACAGGAAGTCATCTCTCAGCTTTAATAATCATTTGTATAATGAAACAGATGGAGTTGTATTACCGACAGCTATCATTATTAACATGACCTAACAAACTAAGTCGCTGACATCATTCTGTACATTATCTGCTCGGACACATCTAACTTATCTAACCAACCCAAACTAAAATGAGCTCTTATAGAAAACTGTAACGTGTTAGGCTGGTTTACTGTTGGAATATGGAACACGAACACCAAAGCAACGTCTAGTGTGTGGAGGTTGTGGTTACAACAATAGAACAAGGTTTCCAGATGTCGAGATAACAGGTTCACTACCGATATGTGAATTTTTTTTGTTTGGGTCCATCTGTTGTAGGCTTCAACTAAACTCACTCTGGTTGTAGATCTTTTATGGTTGCTCCTCTTCTGAGAAGGATAACGACATCTTCTGGGCTCAGACGCGGCTGATTGACTTGCCGAGTCACAGGTCCAGCCTCGCTGTGCCGAGCGGGCTGTCTGGCAACCTGCAATAGTGCCCTCTATTGGCTGGTGGATGTGAACATAAACCCCGTGCCGTGCCGGTCAAAAACAAATGTCAGATTTTTAAAATATAGCTTTTAAAGGAAACACTGTGCCTTCATTCTGCACACATCTAAAAGCCCCGTGGAGGTATTATTATTTATTTAAATATAGCTTTTTATTAAATGGTGCCATATGTGGGGCGACGGTGGCACAGGAGTTAAGTGCTCGCCCCGTAATCAGAAGGTTGCAGGTTCGAGCCCCGCTCAGTCTGTCGCTGTCGTTGTGTCCTTGGGCAAGACACTTAACCCACCTTGCCTGCTGGTGGTGGTCGGAGGGACCGGTGGTGCCAGTGCTCGGCAGTCTCGCCTCTGTCAGTGCGCCCAAGGGCAGCTGTGGCTACATTGTAGCTCATCCCCACCAGTGTGTGAATGTGTGTGTGAATGGGTGAATGACTGACTGTGTTGTGAAGCGCCTTGGGGGTTCCAGGACTCTAGAAGGCGCTATATCAAATACAGGCCACTTACCATTTACAGGCCATTCAACATGATCTAAACAGTGTCTGACGCTAAATTTATCCCCGATTTTAGAATACAAATCTTACGTTTGACTTTTTCTGCCATACAAGTTTTAACTTAATGTTGTAAAATAAAATAAAAAAAAATTGAACTAAACCCTAAAGTAGAATTCCTTTTACAGTTTTAAACATTCTGGAAAACCCATGCTAAACCTGTGAGAAAGTCCTCAAAATAATATCCTTTAGTGTCCACCATATTGTTTATATTACAACTGACATTTTTCACAGTATAAATCTGTTTTTCTCAACTGAACTTGGATATCTGAATTCTCAATTTTAAATGAGTTCAAGAAATTCCAAATGCAAAATGTGAAAGCATCTCGCAGCCCTCTTGCAGTTACTTTTAACACTTTTTTGTGTTCTAAAGGGAATTGAATGTATTTAATAAATAAAAGGAAAGCTGTCTTTTGTCATGTGTTATATGCTGTTTAAAATCTTTTTTTAACTACAATGAAAACTTTGGCTGCTTTAGCTTCAAATATGAAAAAATCCAAACAAATGGACCGTAATTCAAACCATAAACGAGTTTTATCACAGCGTACTTCTTCTATTATTCCAAAACTTTTGGGAAAAATCCATAATAATATCAAATATATACTTATGCCTGGTAACAGTGCTTTTTTAGCACTATTATGACAAATTTAAATAGAAAAATATTTTTATGTTTTAAATTAATTTTATGACAATTTAGTCAAAAGGTCTTTCTGTGCCATACTGCTTTATAACATTTGGGAAATATTTAAATAAAATGCATGATTTTTTTTTTAATAATTCATTTGATATAGTGACATAAAAAGATGAGAAGAGGTTGTGTTAGCTTTATGAAACACACCCTCTCCTTTAGCAGGGTTTGGAAAACTCAAGTTTGGTGTCTGATTTGAACAAATGTTGAACTGTTTTCACAGCACTTTTGACAGTCATTAACACTGCAACGACTCACATTGAAAGTGATATATTTCACGCCATGACGTCCAGCATGAGCACAGAGGAGTAAGTCTGAAAATCAGGACACGTTCTTCAGATCATTAATGAGAGTTTCACAAAAACGATTTGTGTTTGCTGTAGAATATTTAAAAAATTGTATTAGCTTTAATCTTGAGCACATATACATCAAAAATGGATGAAGTTCAGACTGGAAATATGATATTCTAATTGCATCACTGCCCTGTTTTAATTTTAGCATCTTTTTCAGGAACTGTCTTAAAATTAAGTCTCAAATTCAACATTAAAATAGCAAAAAACAAGAGACAAAAACAAACAAACAAAGAAATGTGACTCGATCTGGTAAAGTTAACAACCCAAAACACTGTTATATTAAATTTAAAAGTGGGCAAGCCGATGTGCCACATAAATGCAAATTTTCCAATCAATAATGGCCCATGCAAACTGGTACATTTGTTCCAGGTACAAACTGAATTTTTAGTTGGAGCTGATGACGTGATCTGACCCTTTGGGTCTTTCTCAAAGCTACCTGCTGCCATACCTACAACAGAGTCTAACCCTCATAGCTGAATAAACCCTGCGGCTGAAAGCCATGGCATTAGCTTCCCTGCACGGTCCTACCCTCTCACTATGCCAGCATTCTCCCTCTCTCATCCCTTTAATACGGTGCCACGTCCTGGCAGGGTGTTTCGGGGATTTGTGCAAAGAAAGAGGAGAGAGAGGGAGCAGGATTCAGCAGAAGTCATCCAGAGGTATGAAGCGCTCCCAATACCTGGTGGATTGTTTTTATTTATCCTCTCTTTTCAGGCTCTAGTTTAGTTGATTTTCAGCTATGACTGTCAAAGTTGTACTGACAATATAAGAATGTCAAATAAAACATCTTCAGCTCCTTAGATGTAAGTAGTTCTGCACGTTTTAGTCAATAGAAGATCACAATTTATGCCAATTCAAACGTTTAGGAGGTTTTCCCATCACAATAAGCCCGTTTTCTCCACCAGAACGTCCAGGTAATT